TTTGAAATAGATCACATAGCAACATAACAAGTAGTGCGGTGTGAAAAAAACAACTAATGGATGTCTAATTAAAAAGATTGTGCAATTGAGCTATACTATATGTTATGTATATGATTGTGAGTTTGTCATAGATTCTGCAGTAGTGCTTGTTCAACTATCTCACTCAATTTATTCTTAGATATAGTCAGATAACATTCTACGATCAATTTTCCATGTATGACAAGTTAAGTGGTTACTATAAGCAATGCAATTGATGAAACAATTCTAACACCCAAGGATATAAGTTATTATAAGCAATGCAATTGATGGACACAAACTAGGCATTTGGATGCATGATATCTGGCCAACCAAAAAATAGTTTGCGAATCAAACATAAATGTTAACTAGCCAACTTGAAGATAGACTTCTTTTCGATTAAATAGAGGACCAATAGGAGAAGGAAATGAGGAGAATTCCAACCTCCGTACGAGAGATTACTAAACAATAAACCTTAGTCTAATATAACTAAGCTCTTTACCCTATGCGTAAACTCAATCTCCACAGCAATACAATCGTTGACAATATAACCTTTTTTGTTATCAAGCAACTGAGTTAGAGGTATAAACTGTGGATAACCCCGAACATTTTTGGTAGTTGCAAACCAAGTACAATCTGTCAAAACCAAAGAAAAAGAAACTATTAGACATATAGAAAAAAAACTAGCTTTTGAATCACTATAGTGGTATTCATCTTGCAACAATTTGATATGAAATTTGTTACTGAGACAAATTGAAACAAATGATTTTAGATATTAAAGTAGTTCGATGTGAAGTGGGTAACAAATAAATACTAGTAGCAAAGTTTTGTCTTACATGATCGTTTGTAACCTCCACCCTTTATCTGATCATTGATGCAAATACTGCAGTTTGCCTTGACTTTTTGATTGGGATCAAAGTTCTTGGAATCAACAGAACATAAGTATATGGAGACTTGATATTCCTCATGATGAACCGTGCCTTTTGGTTGTAACTTGATTATCCTATAGAAGAAACATAACAATTCAGCAAAGAATAAATTCAAAATGTGTGTTGGTGAAACAATGGATGAAGCAAGTACCATTTGTGATCTGCCGCGGTAAATTCTTCAGACATCCAATCTACCCCTAGATTGGAGAAATTACGGATCTTCCATTCACGCTTAAATGAGTTATTAGATTTTACCATGGACAAACATTCACCAACTGCTTGCCTTTGAATATGTTTAATTCGTTTTTTTTTTCTTCCCACTCGGACAGATGTACTGTCTTGGCCAACCAATATCTCTGCTCCGTAGGAACATTTGTCGTAAACAAGGTATCCGGCCTCTTTAAATATTTTATGAGGAAGAAATTTGGGAAGTCCCCATTCAGACTTGACGGAATGAAAACGCTGCAGTTTCACTAAATCAAGGCATAACAGTTGAGTCAATTGGAAAACCATAAACTAAAATTTTCTCTGTTTCTACTGATCAGACTTTTTTTGTATGTCACGAGCGTTAACATAAAATTTTGAAGAGAAACTATAGAGAGAATAGATATGTTAAATCATGAGATAAGATATTAATGTACCTCGCACAGTAAAATAATTGTTACAGAGTTGATTGAACAAATAAAAGGTAACTGTAACATTGACCTCCCAACCAGCAGGCAACGAACCTGTCCCTGTAATGGCCAAGTAAACTGATATATGTTCACTTCCTTTTTCATTTCTGTTCCCATCAGGATAAATTATCATTTTCCTGCATCAATTCATTCAACTTTTAGATCGTTAATGGAAAGAAGAAACAAAATTAGATTATGCATATGAAGATTGGACAATAATCTTTGATTAAAATGATTCAATGTGTTATTAGTCTATTGTATAACAGGTTTAGACTGCAAATATATTTAATCGAATCTCCAACACGACCGACTACAATTCCCAATCTTGCTGCATATGTATTTCTGTGAAGTGCCATGCATATATTATACGCTTGGTAGTGTGTGCATATATAAAATGAAAATTAAAAGCTTGTAAATAAATACTTTAGGTGTTATTATTACCATTTATAGCCAGAAGCCTCAAATTCATTTGATTCATACTGGTCAATTCCACTTTCTGAAAGTAGGGAGAAAGCCTCAAATCTTCAACAAATAGTGTGTTGGTGCAGCATCTCTAACTTCAACTGTCACCTCTGCCAATTCCAAACAAAAGGGATAAGCATTATGTAGTTGCAACTATTCTTCCTTTAGGTATAACCAATCAAATAAATTATATATTATTTACATCTAATAACTGATTTATATACTCCCTCTGTCTCAATTTATGTACTCCCTCCGTTTCAAAAAGATTGGTCTGGTTTGACTTGGCACGAAGTTTAAGAAATTAAAGAAGACTTTTGAATCTTGTGGTCCTAAATTAAAGTTATGTCAAATGTACAAAATTGTCCTTAATTTTGTGGTCTTAAACATGCCACGTGGAAAGCAAAAAGTAAAATGTTACCAAAAAAGGAAAGAGGTCATTTTTTTGAAACTGACTAAAAAGGAAAGGAGGTCATTCTTTGTGAAACGGAGGGAGTAACATTTTTCGTTTTTCGAGAGTCAAACCGTTCAAGTTTGACCGAAAATTTGCGCATGAAATCTTCAATTTTTTTGAAATAAAATCTATATACTTGTAAACTATGTAAAAAAGTATTATAAATCACAATAATTGATATTTCAAAATGTTTAAAAGATTTATGAAAAATTTACGGTCAAAGATATACTTATTTGAATCTCGAAATCCAAAAAATGTCAAATAAAATGGGACTGAGGGAGTACTACATTATGTAGTTCATCGATCTGAAGTATATTACAGGAAAAAAAAACAAAAAACTACACATGACAAATATTGTATCTTGCATCATGTAGTTCATCGATGAGAAATAATTGCATGTCAAAAAAGTGGTAAATCAAAAGAAAGAAGTTTATTGTTATTAAAGAAAGGGAGTGTAGAGACTTAAACCTTCATTTTCACAAGGAATGGAGCCCATAGTTGCTGACCACAAAAGAGATAAAACCCTGATGAATTCAACAGTTTCCTATACTCCTCTCTTATATCACTAATATATCCCTTTCCCTTCGGAGGGATTTGAAAATTTGAAATTCCCGTGGATTTGGGGATTTGGAGAGAGAGAGAGATTGATTTTCTTTACCTTTTAAAACAAAAGGTTTATCACTTTATTCAGAAAAAAATATAAATAATATTGGGTACTGATTATTTTTATCCTTATAAACTCTAACCCAAATACCTAATTCTATATTTTATTCTCTCCTTAATAATATATTATTATTTTTATTTTCTTATTTCATAATATAAATCTTTTCTTTCTTTTTTCCCAAATAATTACCTTATATAATTTTCATGCAGATAATACAATACTATTTACCACTGCAGATAAGAAATCCATGAAGATGATGATAAAGGTAATTAGAAGATGTGAATCAATTTCTGGTCAATTGATTAATTTGAACAAAAGTGCTTTTTATGTTCATGATATAACTGCACCAGCCCTAGTAGTTAAAATCAAACAAGTATCTGGTATAGGGCAAGGATATTTCCTTTTCAATATTTGCGCTGTCCTATTTCTATAGTAGGAATAAAATATGTTATTATGATAATATAGTGAAGAAGATCTCCAATAGAAAACAATCCTGGCGAGGAAAATTATTATCCTTTGGTGGGAGAGCAGTGCTTATTGCTCATGTGCTACAGAGTATGCCTCTACACCTACTGTCAGCTTTGAACCCTCCTAAGGGATTAACCAGCTACACAGGCTATTCAACAGATTTTTTGGGGGAAATAATACAGATTGTAGAAGAAGGCACTGGGTAAAATGGGAGGATATGCGGTTGCCCAAGAAGGAGGGAGGCCTTGGTTTCATATCTCTACATGACATCTCCAGTGCTCTTTTTTGTAAACTATGGTGGCATCTAAGGAGATGACCATCCATGTAGAGCTCCTATATGATACATAAGTACTGTAAAATATTTCATCCTGTGATTACTCCTACTAGATGGGCCTCTTTTACATGGAAGAAGATGGTAACAGTAAGACATCAGATACTTTGGCAAGTGAAAAGTTGAAATTCTAGTTTCTCATATGAAAACTGGACATCTCTAGGAGCTCTTTATAATGTGATACAAATGTTTATTTGGTCAACACCAAGTTGGTTTGTTGGGTCATGTGATTTCTCAAGATGGAGTAGCCGTGGATTCAGAAAAAATATCTACGGTGTTGGAATGGCCTGTTCCAAAGAATGTCAAGGAACTTCGTGGTTTCTTAGGTCTCACAGGTTATTATAGGCGCTTTGTTAAGAACTATGGGATCATTGCTCATCCTTTAACAGAATTGACCAAGAAAGATGCTTTTACCTGGCATGCAAAAGTAGAGCAGGTTTTCCAAAATCTTAAGAGGATCTTGACATCAGTACCAGTGCTTCGAGTGCTTCGTCTTCCAGATTTCACTCAACAGTTTACAGTTGAGTGTGATGCTTCATCTGATGGAATTGGGGCTATTTTACTGCAACACTGTCATCCAGTAGCCTATTTCAGTAAGGGATTTTCCTTTTCTAGTCGCATTAAATCTACTTATGATCGTGAATTGTTGCCTTTGGTCCTTGCATTGCAAAAATGGAAGCATTATATTTTGGGTCGGCATTTTATTGTCACTACTGACCATTGTAGCCTAAAGTATCTCTTGCATCAACGGGTGACTATTGCTGAACAACAACGTTTGTTGTTTAAATTATTGCCTTTTGATTTCACTAGTCTGGGCCTTCAATGTTGCAACATCTGCTGCCAGGGAGTCAATTGTATTTAACTTTGACGCTATGGCAGATAATTGTTGGGCAAGAGATTCAACATTGGAAACGCCTTCTTGGGAATTAGACAATCTGGTATTGACCATGTTGGATCGATCTGCTGTGATCCAAAACTGATAGTAACCAGAAGTAGAGATCCGACAAAATAGAACAAAGCAAGTAGATTTACTGTAAATAGTTTGTGGCACAACTATACAGATAAAGTTGTCCGTATGGAGAGGACAAGACTCCAGAAAATAGTAGTTTTGATTCTTAATTACATAATACCAATAACTAATCCTAATTACATATATATAGAGAACGTAAAAGGATAAGACTTGACACTATAAACTATAAACTAGGAATAATAACTGCTAGACAACTGCTAGACAACTGTTGTAGCAGTTGTTTGTCCAGAATTCAACTCTTTATTCTTTTGTCGATATTTTCTTCTAAAATACATCTTGAGAGGTGGGTTGGTATCACCGGAGGCTGTGGAAGATGACGAGATAGAGCTTGATAAGTTCACATAAGGGAAGAGATGGAATTTAGAATATTTAGCACAATACTTACCAGATGAGTTAATAAAGTATATCATTATCACAATTACCCCTCCAAACAACAACAAAGGGCTAGACAAGCCAATTTGGATGCTAGAACAGAGTGGGAATTTTTCAGTAAGAGCGTGTGGCATTATATAAGGCACAGAGAATAAAACGAAGACATATTTAGCAATATCTGGTGCAAAAAATTACCTTTTAAGATGACATTTACCTTATGGAGGGCTTGGAAGTTTAGGTTGCCCATATATGAAGTGGTGCAAAGAATGGGTATCAGCTTCTCTTCTAGATGTTACTGCTACTCTAATCCAAAAAGGAAGACCATGACACATGTTTTTCTAACCTCTCCTACAGCTGCAAAGATTTGATGAACTTTTACTTTTTGTGCAGGTATCAACCCAGAAGGACAACTGATACAACTAATTACCAAGTGGTGGACTATACATGGGCACACAAAACTATAGTAGATAATGAAGGCTATCCCTAGTAAAATCATATGAGAATTATGGAAAATGAGGAATACTTTCAAGTATATATGAAGGCATGATAAGTTTCAATAAACTAGTGTACCAAGTAAATATTGATATTTGGCTACTGATAAACACTAAGTTCTCAACTCTAAAAAACGTACCAATACACTGGCCATAAGTTATTGACTTCCTGAACAAACTCAAACCCATTATGCACTACAAGAAGGTACTGTGGCAACCTCCACCAAAAGGAAAAATTATGTGTAACACGGATGGTGCCAGTAGGGGTACCCTGGAAAAAGTTCATATGGAAATTGCATAAGAGATAATAGAGGGGATGTGATATTTGCTCAAGCAGCCAACTACCAGAGACCAGCAACAATGAGGCAGAGGTAGTGGCAATAAGAGAAGCTTTGGCATACTGTGTAACAGAAGGGTATGAAAGATGCATAGTAGAAACTGACGCTCTTTTAATGCAAAAAATTATAGAAGGAGATTGGAGGAAACCATGGGAAATTAGCACAATAATGTCCTATGGTTATTGATTATAGAAATTTAAATGCAAAAACTAAAACATATAATTATTCGATACCAAATAAAATACTAAAGATAAGACAAATACAAGAATATAATTATTTTAGCAAATTTGATTGTAAGTCAGGATTTTAT